AGAGCAAAAGAAAAATGAAGAGTATCTTCAAACACCTCAGACTTGATGAGAACAGCTGGGAATCTCTGCTTTGAAGTGTGACATACTAGAGACAAACTCAGACATTTCTGGCTACTTAGCCAATAGTTCAGTTGGCATTGCCTTAATCTCAGAAATTTTCACTGACTTTTGTAGGTAAGAGAGGTGTAACTGCACCAGAATTTTGACCCTTATTTTTGGCTCCAGTCAGCCCAAGGTAAATCCAAGTTTGAAATAATTTTACCCCTTCCCTTCACTGACTTTGGAATTCACCTCCCCCTCCTAAGTTCTGGTTGTTTCACACTCAGATTTCTCTGGATATGCCTTGGTCAAGAAGATGCCATTTGTCTTCCCTCATTGACCCGCCTGCAACCCCATTTCTACATTTACCTAAGGCCCTGGGCACACTAAGGGTGAAACTCATAACCACTGTTATTTAAGAGGTTGCTACCAACGGGTATCCTGGGCAGCTTCCCAATTCATATGGACAGGGCAGACAAAACCCAGCTGGAGCATATGCATGGATATACTATCCCCCACTAGAAGCTCTTTGTCTCTAGAAGTCATCCCTGGTGATTGAGCCTTTCCAGCTCAAGGTTCAGTATCTCCAGCTTGTCTTTACTCACAAGAACCACGTTACAGGCTCCAACTTGGGCACCTCTGTCACAGCACAAATTGTTGCTTCAGCCTGTGCTCTGAGCTGACAGGATACAAACCCTCCAGGCAGCCTTCAGCCTCAGTACTAACTCCAGTAAAACCCCAAGCCCAGCTCCCCTGGGAAGAGCCTGCCTCCTAAGTCAGCACTGCCTTCCCCCACTTGTACAGCCAGGTTCTTCTTTAGACCTCACTGAACTAGTGACACATTTCAGGCTTGAAAGAAATAGAAAAGGACTTATTAAGCCTGTGATGAGAATCAGAATAATGAATAGCTGAAAGCTAAAGCTATGCAAGTTATGATAAGTTATGCAAGTTATGACAAAAGGCATTTAGTTGCTGGAAGAACTATCACAAGGCAGATGTCCCACCTCTATTCTGCACCACACTGGGGTTCAGCTACACCCACTTTCTGGTGAAAACTTCTGCTTTTTCCAATTTTCAGCTCTTTTAAGAGTTTTTCAGTACAGCAAGGTGAATGATTCAGGAAATTCAAACTCCAGAAGAGAGGGCAGCAGCACGAGGCTCATTATTAGTTATTTAATCAGCCATTTGTGGGGGTTCCTGTGCTTGTGCCAGTTCTACCTTCAGAGTTTTTGGACACACACTGTGTGAGGGGAAGGACTCCTGTGCACTCTCTCAAGCTGTTCCATTACATCTGATTTATAGCATGACACCGCTTGTTCTAGCCCATAACCTTGAGCTTGTAAACTACACAGGGGAAAATTTACTAACCACTGAGTTCATCTTAATGCACTATTGGGACTCTTAAGTGGGGAAAAAAAGAAGGCAAAGAATCGGGGACATCCAGAGGAGCTGGTTTTGAACAGCAATCCTTTCCTGGCCCAATCCAGCGCATCTCACAGTCCACTCTGTTTTCATTTAAATAAAGTTTTAATTTACATGGCCAGCACAGAGTAAGGACCTATGTTTGTCTTGCTTTGAAGGTGATAATCAATAGGAAAGTTGTAGATACATTTCACTTACTAGCTGCACACACGGCTGGAGTTTACCTCAACAGCACATACAAATGCCTTTACTCCACCCTTTGCTGGCATCAGAGTTTGATTAATAACAGAAGCCAGAAAACTGTTTTGTAACTTTTCTATTAGGAAAGAAAGTTGTCACCCACGCAGCAGAACAATTTCCTAGCAGTAAAGGAGTCCCCATCAGTGTAAACAGAAAAGCACTGAGAGCTGGAATACAGGTGTTACAGGTCCTCAGTGCAACTCTGATGAGCAACCTAACACAGACCTGGGACTTGCATGAACATCAGAGCCAACAACACACTCTCACCAGAGGCTGCAAACTGCATCCTTGGCTCCACTAGAAGTGTGGCCAGATGACCAAAGGAAGTTATCTCCCTTTCATCAGTGCTGGTGAAGCTGTACCTGGAACACCAAGTCTGGTTTTAGGTTCTGCACTGCAACAGAAATGGGGAAACTGGAGAGGGGACAGCACAAGGGCTGGAGAACAGGATTTATGAGGAAAGGCTGAAGCTGGGCTTGTTCATCCTGCCCAAGAGGTGGGTTAGCAGGGTGATCTGACAGCCACAAGGAGTTACAATGTGATGGGGTCAACCACTTCTCAGTAGCACCAGGGAACAGAATAAAGGACAAGGACAGCAGAGCTTGGGAAGCTCAGGCTGGCTTGGCAAGAAGTTTTTACAGGGAGACAAGCATAGCACTAGTACAGGCCAGAGGTGGCTGGGCCTCCCATAGTGTTAGAGACACAGGTGACTTTGATGCAGTGTTGACAAAGGTCACAACTCTGAGCTAATTTAAAATAAAGATATCATACAAATACAAATACGGTTTCAGCCTCCACTTCATTATTTTTGGAGCAAAGAAAAAGGGAGTCTATCTAGGTTCATCTTTGACAAGTTCATTTATCACACAGAACTTGATGGCTGCACTACTGTGAGATACACAAAAGCAGCACCCACAAATGCAGTAGTTATTCAGATGCTCTGCCCCACGTTTTGTCTTCCTTTTCAAGGATGCTCTGTTCAAGTGTATTACAGACTTTCAGATTAATTTCCTCAGCTAATACTCTGAGGTGAACATCTAATTTGCCCAAGGTAAAGTTACACTCTCCTTGGTTTGTTCCCTTCAATGGCAGCCTGCCCTCCATACCAGCATACAACTTCCTTGAAACACGAAGACAGTGTTGATGTTATAGAGCAAATACAAAATGAGCTCTGCGTTTGCTGACTATTCCCAGAAGATATCTTGCTCCTTACTTCAGTCTAAGTATTCAAAAGTCAGTTCCTGAAACTTTCCCCTCCTTTCAAGTAATTTTGCCTAGGTAAGGTTCCAGCAAACAGCAGCCTGTGCGATTATTTCTGCTATTACAGTCTCTTATTTTGTTTAATTTTTAATTATTTTAAATTACACAGCTGAAGTGCAACTGGATATATAGCAGTGGATAGATGTCATTCAGCAAAAAGGCTTGTTCTTTGAAGAGCCTGAACTAGCCTTTCTAGCAGGAGGACTGTAGCTCATATGCTGAGGAATGTCACACTGCTTCTATGGTCCATGGAGGACATTAGGGGTAACCTTATTACTATTTAAAGGATAATACTGTTTGTAAACGACTTCCCGGCATCCCAACAGTGGATTTTCATAGGGACTGGCAGAGAGCAGCAACTCCTATTGTTCCTTCACTCCAGTGACTGGTTTCCCAAGCAGGAGCAGCAGTGCTGTGACACAGCTCCTGTTTGTGCATCAGGTAATCACACAATTTCCACTGAATGGCCTTGGTCGTGTCAAGTCCATACCAGGTACAGCAACACAGCTGGAGCACTGGGCAGAACACACTGTCAGTGCCCAGGTACCCCCCAAGCCCCAACACCTCAACCACAGCAATTCCCAGGACAGACCTGACCAGAGCCAGAGGTACCCACCCAGCTGTCCAGTCATTGTCTATCACACTGTCATTTATCTTCCACATTTTAAAAGAGGCTGATGAACTTTATAACTATATTCATGAGCCTTTCCTTACTCTGTTTTTGATGAACTACCTCCTTAATAAGTGCCTAGGAGTTTTAAAAAGGAAGAAAAAGCAAACAAACAAACCACACACATCCAAAAACACATCAGGCTGACTTGACAGAAGTACTTCTACTTTCTCAGTGGATACTTTAAAATGTTTATGAACAAGCCCAACAGCAGGTTTGGAAGTTTTTCTCAATTAAATCTCACATTGCTGAGCACAGCTCACAGTTCTGCTCTCCTCAGATTTCCCTGAAGCCTCACTGCACCTTCACACTTACTTGCTTCTTCTCCAGTTTTTGTAACATCAGCACATACACAAGTGGTGAGTTTACAGTGCCCCCAGATGTTACTCATGAAATCAGCACCAAGTAGAGGCCTTGGTGTTTCTCCTTCCCGTCCCTTCTCATTAAAGAACACTCTTTTATCAGAGGTCACAGTAATAAATGATGTTTTGCTAAAACCTTGTTGCAGTTAGCATGGAATTTTGTGTCTGAATCCATATCAGATACCAAACTAAAGTGCAGATGTACTAATTACCAAGAAAGTACAGTAGAATCAAACCCCTCAAATTTTATGTATATGTAGAATTTGCCAGTAAAAAGCTTTATCACTACATCTCAGGCAGGTTCCCTTATCAGTGTTTTGATGCAACTATCACAGAAACCACTTCACTCTTACCATCCTACCAAGGAAAAGCAGGAACCAAGCCAGTTCAAGCCCCTCACCTCACCCAACTCCCCTGTTACAAACACACCCTTAGAGCTTCCTTAGCCAATACCATAAAGATCCACTCTGGGTTATGCATCTTTAAGATGGCAGAAAAGGCTACTCAGGAATAAGAAGACTAAAAGCATGTCAAAAAGGAGTTTTCCCACTTACTATCTTGAGGAAGAAAACAAGAATGACAAGCAAAAGCCATACCTTTTGACTGAAAATATTTGAAAGCCCCAGGTCTGTTTGTTTAAAGGAGTTTCAGGGCCATCTGCTGCATCACAAAGAAGCTGGAAAAGACATCAGTCGTATTCTCACTTCTCTCCCTCTCTGTAGATTCATAACCAGAGCAATGCTATCTCTAAGGATATAGCCTTCTCTGGAGGTTCAAAAAGGATCCAAAGCAAAATCTACAGCATGCAGGAGAAATAGGTACTGGAATAAAACACCTAGAAGCCAGGGTTTAGAAATTTATATGTATGTAAGTGTAATGTGTGTGAGTGCTTAATAAACTTGAATTACTTTGCAATTCTTTAGTCTTCTCCCGGACCGCTGATCCCCAAAAAGATTAAATGACTCAACTTTGCTACAACTTGTAAGAGATTCAGCATGACAGAAGAGTTTAAGGGCAGCTGGCAGAGCAAAGCACAGCTGTTTATCACAGTACAACAGAAACAGTTCTTCAAACACACATCAGGGACTGCAGAGATAGAGAGTTTTATCAGAACACACCTTTCAGACAAGTTACTAAATCGTGGCTTTAACAGCAAGTAATGTGTCTGAAAGTGCACTGCAGAAATCCAGACTGCAAACAGGCACCCATTAACAGGACTGAGCTCTGCATGGACCTCTTGTGTAACTTCACCATCCCCAATACTCTTTAACATCATGAGAACCTTTCTTTGGTAGCCAAAAGAAACACCCGTATGCCACCTTCGTTAGGACAATAAAGATAATTTGTTTCCTTACAGAAGCTGCTCTCAACCATCATTCAAGTACTGATCCAAGTAAAAACATGTAAGAAAGGCTACCATGGGCTGGTGTTGTAAAAAGACCCAGATGAGGTAAGCAATCTATCTCCCATACTGATGTTCCCAGAATGGAAAAGTCTAAATATCAGACATTTGCATGAACAAGCAATTGCTCGTTCTCTTTTTATGGTGATGTTCATGAACTCTGGCCATCTGAAGTTAAAAATTTGACTGAGTGAAATGAGATTCCCCGTTCTGGTCTCAGTCTTTTTCTCTTCGAAGAAATAATGATAAAAATGGGATTGTTTTCATAGAACTGAAAGCCTGATTTGTATATGCAACAAGCCATTTCATATTATGTCCACAGAGTGTTACTTTCCCCAACATTACAAAGCAATTTGTTTCCAGACAGCGCAGAATAATTAGTTCACTCTTCAACAAAACAAGGTTTTCTCCATATTGTGCCTATTACCCACACTGAGTTTCCACAGAAAGCAGCCTGAACTCCATGCACATATCAGACTATTAATGCCAAGGGCAGAATCCAGAACAGAGTTTCAACGCCCTGTTAAGTTTTTGCTGCCGCTTCCTCTCTGAAAAACTAAACACTGCCACCTACTGACTGCCAAAACCTGAACCTTAAAGGATTGGTTTTTTATTCCCCACTCCCATACACATTGCCGGAGAGGCACAATAATAGCTGTAAGGAAAGTATTACATCCCAGATAAACCATAAATCGATGTCTGTATTCTTAAATATTATTGTTGCTTTTTTTGTTCCAATGCTGTAGCTACTTTAAGAAATTTTAGTACTTTTAGTCCAAGTCTGATCTTGCAATTTGACTGTCAAGCACATATTTTTACCATCAGAGCCCCCACCATACATAACAGAGACACCTGTGTGAACTTCAGTTCACTACAAGCTTTATAACAGCATCGTATGTTCTAGATTTGATAGTCCAGGGTCGAGTTTGAATGCTGTGTTGCAAATAACATCTGCTGCTCCAAAATTTTTCCATGCCTATGGCTTGACAAATAAGAAAAAACCCTATGATCATTCTCACATCATCCAGCTCCAGCAGCACCAAAGATATAACTAAAGCATTATTTTAATTATTCTTTTATACAATTACATTGTCAAACAAGAGGATACCTATACAGTCACAACAGTCTGTCAGAGCGTATGAACAAGGGTTCTGTTTCGCAGCTGCTGCACATATTCTTTTGCCTGGTCAAAGCCAGTCCTTGGTGGCTCTGGAGGGGGAGGAGGACCTTCCATCAGCTTCACAAAGTAGTGGCACCTGTTGATTTTCATGAAGGCAAACATGCCCTTGGCATGGTAACGAATGTGCTTCACGTAGCGGCCTCTGCCCGTCAGGGACTCAGCTGAAGGAGAAAGCAGAGAAGGCCTGTTGAGTTGAGGATGAACTGCCACACAGCTGCAACAGAAACACCTGTCTTGCCAGCGTATGTTTGTGGCTGCTTCTGGAAAGTTAATTCTACTCAGGATTCTCTCCCCCATCTTTCTTCTGTTACATTCAGCAGATCAGTGATACAGAGGGCCCCGTGAGCTGAATTAACACTCCTCAGGAGCACAAAAAAGGTGAATTTAGAAACCATGCACACAAGATAAATATGTAGGAAAGGGCAAATCCAAAGGAAGCTAGACTGAACACTTACTAAATTATATAGCTCTTCTGAAGGTGATATTAATATCACTGATTTTCAGTAGTTTGCCTCGTGAATTCCTGTAGAAGTCTTACAGACTTCATTTTCTCCCCTTATTGCATATATCACAGGTATTTTCATTATCTACACATCCAGTCCTGCACTAGCAGCTGAACCTTCTTATGGCAGAGGCCTGGAATGCTCCAAAGAATTCTAATCAAATTTGCTCTACAGTCCAGGTGACTTTAAGCTTATAAGGTCTGTTTAGTAAAATTTACGCCACATTAGACAAAATGGGAAGTAATAACTTTGGGCCTAAAAACACCTACAAGTAAACATTTGTCTAACATTTTTCTGGGCTAAAAAGTGCTGTAGTTATTCCAAGCTTATCCTGTAAACAACTACATCTTTTTACTAAGAAGTTTTCTGTCAATACTCATTTACTTGTATACAATTTCTGACAGAAGTTTAATTCTGATCCTGCAAATCTAGCTGTACCAGCCACAGACAAAGCCTCCAGCATCTCTGTTCACTGGCAACATTAAAAAGTAGTAACGGTTTGCTTTCATATTCATGTCAAGCATCTTCCTCTTCAGGACCTTCTGTTCACAAAAGGAGCAGAAATTCCACTCTCAGATGAATGCATCTTAAAAATGATGCATCTGGCAGATGCCAGAACACCACCAGTCAGGCACCAACTGCAGCAAAGTGATGGCTAAAGGCTCAAAAACCACTACTAACTTCAGCTGTGTTGCAAGCACGTGCCTTTCGTGTTTTGGTAAAGATAAGTTCAGCAGAAACTGCCCTCTGTTCATTTCTGCTGATTTGAAGCCAGAAAAACTTATTAAGGATAAAACTTTTTCATAGGGCAGGATAGGGTAGGATGACATTTTCCTGCACTAAATTAAAAAAAAATGTACCTATATGTAAATTCGATTTGAATTCCACGTTGTGCTTTCTTACGGCCAAGTCCTGTGCTTCCAACAGAACCTGTAACAAAAGGAAAAGAAATGGAAATACTTGAGTAGGAATTCAAGCAATGCTATTTCTTATCTCTAGATAACATGGAAGAAATTGAAAGTTTAAGTCAGTTATAGAAAAAGTATTTTATAGAGATAAAAACTGTTAAAAGACAAGCATCTTTTACATAAGGATGTTCCTTGCATACAGACTGAAATAGCCTCAGGAGAATTTTATTACATTTTTGGGGAGGAAAGGGAGTGGAAACGATGGTTCCCATCAGCATTTGTCAGCCTTCCATCTACAGACCTTTGTCTAACTAGACATCAGACTAGAAACAAATTCTAAGGTGGGCAAAATGAACTTGGGTCATTCAACATTTTCAGCTCATACAGGACACATCTTTGCCATTATTATGCCAGAAAACAATGCTTCAGCCAAGAAAATGAGTAATTTGAGAATCCTAACAACTACAGTGTATCAAAAGCCTTTGTGCCTTTACAGGCCTTTCCTTGCTAATATCCTTCACCTCTTAAAGAACCAAAGCACACAGATGTAACAGCCATTAGAGACCAGGATTCTGCATCATTTACCAGGAACTTAACACCAAGCACTGTTGCAGAGGGCACCCACATGTAATTTATCATCATGACAAATGAACACAGCCAGCACAACTGACCCAAACATATTTATAAGTCACAATATGACATGACTGTAACAAAAATATGTTGTTTGAATGTGTTCTCAACAGGCTTACTCGAAACATAAGACCCTACAGAAACATCTTCAAACTTCAGGTGACAGGTATTGATTTTAAAGTTTTCTTGAAAGTAGAAGTGTCAAAGAATACTACTACATACCTCTTTGATCACTTTTGCTCCCTTTTTGTCACTAAATTCCAATTGAGCAAGAGCCTGATCAATGGTCATTCCTTTTATCTGCAATCAAAGCGTTAAAATTAACTCCAGCAATTACAACTATTTCCCTTCTCTTATTCAGAAGACATTACTTGACTTACATTGCCATTATGAAAACCAAAAATACTTTAGTTTCCTTAATTACCACTTCTTCAATATCTTACACACAGAAAGTCTGAGCTAAATATTGAATAAATCTTGACAAAACATTAAATTATTTTTTCCTTAAAGAAAAAAACAGTCCATTACTATCTTTCAAAATTCCTCTTGCCATCTACTACAAGGCAGAATTCAACACGGAAATTCTTCCACAGTGCATAATCTGTGCATGATCCTGGGTACACCTGAGAGAGCACACTGGGATAAAGCAGCTAAACCAAACCACAAACAGCTGCTCCCTGTCCAGATCCAGGCTCATCCCAAGGACTCAGTATTGAAGAGCCTGATTGGATTGTGGCCAAATGAGGCCGTTAAGGCAAACACAATCAAATTTTGCATTCTAACAAACACAGTACAAAGTACTCTTTGCTTACCAGTTTTGCCAGATACCACATCTTATCTTTGCTGTACTTTATGTCTCTCCGACAGTGATATATTACCTGGGTGCAAAAAACAAAAGTTACCAGGATCAGTAATTTTCCTGTGAAAACAAGAATGGACCATCCATGCCCGCTCCACAATTTTCTTACTAAGAATAAAATAAGCATGGTTCTCCCTACTATACCATGAGCACACTGGATCAGGCACAGCTTTGAGATTTGAAACTTTGATATTTGAAAGTATTAAAAAAAAGTTACTGGCACACAGAAAAGTTTAATGCAATTTTATGACAATCTGCTCATAAATAGAAGTCCCTGAAAAGGATAATCAGAAGATTTCTCATCATCTTTTTCTCTCATCCTCCCCACCTTTAGAAGCAAAGATTGAAGTGCCCATTCAGTTTTAAAAATACTATTCTGCTGTCAAGTCAACTTAGTGGGAGAGCAACTAAACAATATTACCAGAATGAACTTAATTACCACTTCAGAAGAGAAGAGGCTTTCAAGTTTGATTGGCATGAAGAGCTGCCTCCACAGACCCATTCAACATTATTACTGACAGGGACCAACAGTAGTTAGTAGCATTTAACATCAATACAAATTTGAAAGCAGTGGCATTCTTTATAAACGGGTAATAAACTGATTTAATAAGCGAGTCAGTCGATAGCTGCATTTTCACCCACATTGCATCAGTCAGCACAGGCCACACCAGGGATTTCTACATCCTATGGCTTAATGGTCACAGGGGCAATCAATGAATGCTCATGGCCCACAAAAGTACATGCCCCAAAAAATCTCTTTTCTTTTGACATGCAAACACTTTACTTTGCTGAGCAGTGTGTCTAACAGAGGCCACAACACATCAATTCCCAATGGAGAAAAATTACAAAAATGGAATTCAAAAATATCAGTTCTTGACAGCGAGTAAATACTGAAGAGTTAACCTAAAATCCTCCCAAGCTGAGCTGTAGTGAAAGCAACACTAATTGGTCCTTTCAGTTATCAAATACACAACATTCTCTTCCTATGCAACTTCAGAGCCTTGCTTCCACTTGCATTTACCTGCAACTTCCAAGTTACAAAGATAATATACTGAAATAATCAACAAATAAGCTATAAAACTATTGCCTTGTACAGTCACCCAGAGCCAGTGACAATCTGCTCAGAAATTGCTAACCACACACAGGTAAGGACATTCCCAGGTGCATCCTTACAGCTGGTCTGCGGGGTTCTCCAGGCAGCTGTGGAGGGTAAACAATCCTGTTCTTTTTCTCCCACTTCCCAGTCTTCTGCAGAGATGTGCTTGTGTGGATGCATGACAGAGGGAAAAAGCTACAGGATGGCAGCCACCTGCAAGACGAGACCACAGCCTCAGCTGCTGAACACAACAGTTCTTTTTCCCTGCCCAGTTTAGCTGGAAAATTGTGAACTTGCCTGTGTTGATAACGAGAATCGACACATTTTCATACTCATAAAATCAAACTATTACAGTGTATTATAGTTTATGTTGGAAGGGCTTTTTAATTCAACAAGAAACCCCAGACTTCCCAAAGCAAACCACGAACCATCAGTGACACTGGTACAGCACAAGACTCCACATTTAGTGCTCCTGAATCATCCCACAAAGGCACAGTCACCTCTGTTTATATCTTTTCCAAGACCTACCAATACTTATTTAACTCTTACCAACAACATTTTTAGCAATAAAAATTTCTAGTTTTTCAAGGGGCTGAGTATCTCAAAGCATTAGAAATTTATAAACATTCTGAAATCTGAAAGGAGAGATGTTCTGAACTACTTCCAAAATGCAATCAAGTCAATATAGGACAAGCTGACAGCGAAAAAAATCAGTCTTCAGTCAGTCTGCTCATCTCAGAACCTGAAAAACCAAGCTACCTTTTGCCCCCCTGCTGCCTAAATAAAGCAGCACTGGGCAGCCACTCCCAACTGCAAGTTCAATACCAGATATTGTGAGTTTTACTAAGCCTTGAATAGCTTCATGTGGGTGGCAAACTGTGCAAAGCATCTTAAAAATAACTGGCAAACAAAACATGCTGATTAGTTTCAAGAGGACATTGTACATCCCTACGTTTTGGTTTATTTGATTAATACCTAAAAATGTCACTGAACAAGGCAACAAGTCATCATCATCAGGGAGAATATCATGGATTAGTACAGGACAATTTTTGACAAGCACATGAATATCATTCTGTAGTTTAACGAATTGAGCAGGAACGAACTAAGCATTCCCTTCCTGCCCTCAGAGAGCACATTAATATATCTGACAATTTAAGGAACGTCACATTCCCTCTATCTTAAAGTAATCCAGCCTCATGTGAAGAGCAAAACTATCCTAACTTTAGGAAGGGACACAAACACATTGCAAGCAAGAGAAAACTGCGACAAACAACAAACAAAATACATTATATAGGCGTGAGGGGAACAGGACGGAAAAACGCTGAAGGAATGCTAGAAGGAACCATCCACAAGCAGCAAGTGGGACACACAAACAAGAATTTAGTAAAATAATGAGCAGATAACTCTGTCCAACTGCAAGAAAGCAAAGTAAGGGCAACATAAACCTATTTCTTCTTCCTCTGGTGACACAGGTCTCTGCAATTTAACTACACAGGCTCTAGCAGAGACCAAAGCTCTGCACTTGGAGGATCCACACCAGCCTTCCCTCTGAAGTCAGGGATACAGCAGTACCACTGCTCCCACAGCACAGCCTGTGATCCCTCCAGACTGAGAGGGAAATTCAGTAACTACAGAAAAGCAGTGGCTGAGGACAGCACAGGGGGGAGCAACAGGTACATTGTTACTGTGACCTGCACCACAAGGTCAGAGGAAATCTGGAAGACACCTCTATCATGGCACAACATCTCAGTACATAGAAAGACACCACAGGGGCAGAGAGTGACCTGTTCCCACAGCCCCGGGGCAGGGGGGAAAGGCAGAGAAAGGGTAGAGCCCCAGGTACCCCCCGGGTAGGGCTGCCCATGTCCCACTGTCTGGGGATGGCAGGGGGGCAGCAGAACCACACTCACCTCTCCGGCCGCGCCCAGCTGAGCAGACCCCGCGCCCAGGAACCGCCTGAAAGGGGGGAGCAGAGAGCGAGGAATAAGCACAACCACGGAATCACAGAATGGTTGAGTTGGAAGAGACCTTGAAGATCACCTTGTTCAAACCAGAGACACCTCCCACTAGCCCAGGTTGCTCCAAGCCCCGTCCAACCTGGCCTTGGACACTTCCAGGGATGGGGCAGCCACAGCTTCTCTGGGCAACCTGTGCCAGGGCCTCACCACCCTCACAGGGAAGACTTTTTTCCTAATGTCCTATCTAAACCTACTTTCCGTCAGTGTAAAGCCATTCCCCCTCGTCCTGTCACTACATGTCCTTGTAAACAGTCTCTCCCCATCTTCCCCGCCCGCTCCTTCTGGCACTCCTTGGAAGGCCACAACCAGGCCGCCCCGAAGCTTCTCTTCTCCAGGCTGAACAACCCCAACTCCCTCAGCCTTTCCTCACGGGAGATGCTCCACCCCTCTGACCACCTCGGTGCCCTCCTCTGAGGGGAGAGCCCCCCCCAGCAGCGCCGCGTCCCCCCGACAGCCGCCTCACCCACGCCCAGCGCCCAGCGCGCCGCCATCTTCCCGGCCGCGCTTTGCGGCAGCGCGCCGGGCGGGGGCAGAGAGGCGCGGGGTTTGCGACAGTTTGCGACGGTGCTCGGCGGCAGCGCCCGGGGCACGTGGGGGGAGCGGGGGGCGATGGCGGCGGAGACGGGAACGGGAGCAGGGACAGGGACAGGGATGGGGGTGAGGGCACTGCCCGCCTCCCCCAACTGGTACAGCAGCCGCTGCAGTGACGCCAGCAGCGACGGCCACCTCTTCGGCTTCGCGGCGCGGCACCGCGTCTGCCTGCTGGATATCGGAGCCGCCGCCCCCACGTTTTATGGTACCGTCACAGCCCTCCCTGGCCCCCCGCGGTGTTCAGGGAGGGATCGGGATCCTCCGGGGGAGGTGGCGGGAGCCCCGGGGGAGGTGTGGGGTGGGTGGGGGGTATAGGGAGCCGCCGTGCGCTCCCGGGGATCCGGGATTTGAATCACGGTCTGTCGCTGTCGGTGCAGGGGAGCTCATCGGGCACACGGACAGGGTCTCCGGGTTCGCGTTCTGCCACTGCCCCGGGCAGAGCGGCCTCTGCGCCAGCAGCTCCGACGACGGGAGCGTCAAGATCTGGGATGCGGCGTCGCTGTCGCCGGTGCTGGAGTACAGCCGGCACCAGGTGGGAGCGGGAGCCACCGGGAGCGGGGGGCAAAGGGAGTCGCAGGAGGGTGCGGTGATTTAGGGCTCGCACACAAAGCAGTGTGAGGCTGCCTCACCCAAAGGTGAATTTCAAACCCTCTGGCCGGGTTTTAGTTCTGCCCTGGAGCCTCGTTGCATCATCTCAATGAGCTGTTGGTTGCCATCAAAGCCGCAGTAAACCAGTGTGCTCGCGGTCTGGACTCGTTGCCACTTAACCCAGCTCGCTTAAAATGATCTCAGCACGTTACTGTTCCCCTTGGGGCAGACTAAAGGTACGTTTGAACGTTTTCTGTGACTCAGGACACCAGATCAGCGTCTGCGTCCATTTAAAGCCCAGCAGACCCAGGACACATTGGAACAAACTGAACTGATGCTGGAAAGTGCTCACAGATTGTTTCTGAACTAGTGCTGGGGAGTTCTCACAGATTATTTTCTGCCCTTTATTCTGTGTTAGGTGGTGGTAGAACAGCTCTAAGTGCGTTCAATCCTCTTTCCTCAGAACCCAATCTCTGCATTGCACTGGTCACCTCTTGTGAAGGATCTCATTGTGTCTGGTGATGAAAAAGGTGTCATTGTTTGCTACTGGTACAACAGAAGTGACAGCCAGCAGTTCTTCCCAGAGCCTCGCACAGTTTTTTGCCTCACTTGTTCCCCTCATCATGAAAACCTGGTGGCCATCGGGTAAATATTCACTATGGTTTGTTTTCCACTATTCTCCTGCAAGAACCTTATTGGGAATTTTTTGCTACATGGCTGTAGGGTTAATTTTGAGAGGGTTTGGTGGCTGTTCTTCTAGTGTACAAGTTAGAAATAACATTTAGATGTGGTAAACCTGCAAGACACAGAAATCCATAAGAGTGTAATTGTCCAAGTTCAATTTGCATTTTTGAGGTTTCTTAAAACTGTTATTTTTAATTAAACTTGACTGAAGGCTGCATTAGTAATGGATTGTTGTCATTCTTGCAGCCAAGTATACTGGTTACCCTTCTTGAAAAGGCAGCTGCAAGCACCCCATTGCCATACTGGAGCTCCCATTACCATTAGGCTGCCAGTCCCATTGCTGCTAGGATTTGGTTTCTCCGTCTATAATATAATAGTGATCCTGGAAAGAGCTTGGAAATCACTTAGAAATTATCCCACAAGCATCCAAGAATCTCTTCATTAATTTACATCTCTGCTTTCAGCTACAAGGATGGCATGGTGGTTGTCATTGATATCAGCAGGAAAAGAGAAGTCCTGCATCGGCTGAGGGGCCACGAGGATGAAATACATTGTCTGGCCTGGTGCCCTGTGCCTGGTGAAGAAAGGTTACCTTCTTGGCAAGATGAGGTCCAGGGTATGTAGAAGTGATTAATAGTTTGTGAAGCAATTTTTATTTCATGTAAATGTCTATTTCTAGAGAATTGAATTTTTTATAGAAGGTTGGTAAGTAGCTAAGCAAAGGCAACTAATAAGTTCAGTACAGTGTGTTCTGATAGAAATCAGTCTATTTTTCAGCTGATTTTTTTTTTAAAGCTTTGAATTTCAAAGTGTAATAACATGACTTCAATGGTGTTCAGCAGTTCCTTCAGAGGAAGGCAGAGTTCCAAATGGGGAGCTGACACAGGACACAACCACAAAGAAGGGCTGTTACCTGGCCTCGGGAAGCAAAGATCAGACCATACGAATATGGAGCTGTACCAGAGGCAGGAGTAAGTAGGATTGATAATGTGAGATAAACAGTGACAGTGTGGTGGAAGAGCTGTTCTCTAACTGCAGCCTTTGTCTGCTAATCTGATGGTTTAAAGCATGGGCAGTGTACTTAAAGCTGCAGATTCACAGGGCTACTCTTTCTGTCAGGGAGTTCTGATGTACAAGGTCTGGATGATCCCTCTTGGTTCCACAGGTGTGCTGACTCTGAAGTTGCCCCCCACCAAAAGAAGAGGTGGAGCTGTTGATCCCGCTGTTAAGGAGCGCATTTGGCTCACTGTTCACTGGCCTCCTGGTCGTGCCACAGAAATTGTGTCCAGTGGTTTTGGGTGAGTAGGGCACTCAGCAGCCTGGGGACCATCAGCAGCTGCAGATACATTTGTTGATACTTAAGGAAGTGCTGGGTAGAAAAGACACTCCCTTCCTCCTTCTTTCCTAGTATAACAGGAGACAAGATAGGTCAAGACTAAAAATGGGACTTCAGGCTTCTAGAAAACTGTTTGTCCCATAATTTCTCCCATAATCTAACTGAATGTTGACTGCTAATGGTACAAGTTGTGTTTTTGCCCATCTAGTGGGGAAAAATGACCTGTCAGTTTTCGAGGTGGTGTTTGTGTGCAGCTCTGTACAGGCAGGTGCAGTGGATGTGTGTCGAGCTGTATTAGTCTTGTACTTGCAAAATGTGCACAGGTAGTGGAGTCTGTATATGGCCTATGTTGTTCTTTTGAAGTGAAAAATTAAATAAATTTAAATTTTGCAGAGGAGAACTGCTTCTTTGGAATTTGACCCAACCTGGAAAACGAAAGTGGACTCTTCTGGGATCATCAGAAGGACAAAACCACTCCCGAATTGTGTTCAATCTCAGCTCTGTGAAGCAGCAAGACAAAGAGCTCCTTTTTTCCATTTCAATGGACAGAGATGTAAGAACCATTTTAAAATTAACATAAAAATACCTATAGTGTACAGTTTGGCTGAGTGAGGGTAAGCCTTTTAGGGCCACAATATTTCTTTTTGAGTAGGTTTATCCCAGCATTTTGTAACATCATTGCTTCAGATTTGCTCTGAGCACAGGTTGTGTATTTTTCTGTTAGTTTATAAGCTCAAGCTCTTACCCTGGTGAACTGTTATGACATTCTGGACTTGAATGGTAAGCATTTATTAAAGAGTATTTACCGCTTCTTTTTCCTGTTTCACTTTTAAAAGATCTGGTTTTCCTTCTTAAAATCATTTAATTGTACAAACTAAAGCATCTGGGTTTTGTTTTTTTTTTTTAAATTTTTGGCCTTTTACAGGCAGCAGAGTGCCTCCTATTTTGAAATTTGAAGAGGACCATAGTATTGAAATATATTCATTGTGTCCATTTCATTACAGTCTTCCAACTATTGCAGCCCTGTCAGTGACATGTGATCCTCTGGGTGCAGATCACATACTGTCAGGCCTTGAATTTGACCTTTTAATTCTTCATCTCACAACTTGCTTTGTTTTTCCTTGTCATATCAGTCACTCTATATTTAACTATTCCTTGTTCCTTAAATATTCTTCAGGTGAAGTGCTGGGACCTGTCAACTCTGGATTGCAGCTGGACCATGCCCTCACTTGGAGGCTTTGTCTATAGTCTTGCCTTCTCCCCTGTGGACACAGGCTGTCTTGCCATCGGGGTTGGAGACAGCATGATCCGGGTGTGGAATACTTTGTCCATGAACAATATTTACGATGTTAAAACCTTCTGGCAAAGCATAAAGTCCAAGGTCACAGCAGTAAGTGTGCTTTGGATTCCTTTTTTTTTTCTCTTATCTCTTCTCCTCTTTTCACTCCATTTTTTTCAAGTATTTTTTTTTTCTCTTTCACTCTGAAGAAGGTTTTTCCCAGCAAAAGCCAAGTTGTTCATTTTGTACTCGATTCTTTCAGTCTACAAGACATTTTAGGGTCTGCCAGCAAATTTTTAGACCTATTTACAACCCTAGATGCCCTCACTACATCTAGTGAAAATCAGCTGAAGTCCAGCTGGCTGTTACATTACTTTTTACTGTTATCCTCCTTCATCATCCTTCCTTGTTTCATCCATGGTTGCCCTTGCTCTGCTAGGAAGTTTGACACATACAAAAACCAACACAGATGTCTTCAGTTTAGGTTAACCAGGAACTAACCAGAAGCTACAGTCTGGTAAAATAGCTGGCAGAAGTAAAATCATATTTTCCATTTTTGTTTTGCAGTGTAGGTGTCAAATAGCATTTTAATGATTTGTAGTCCATTTTATCTTATCCCACCATACCTGGTAAGGGAGAGCCTTTGATACTCAGAGCAGAGTGATCAGATCCAGTGGCTGTAGTTGGAAGGGTGGGTGTAAGGCATAGTCCTTGCTCAGCAGTTTCAATGTTTTCCTTTTATTTATTATTGAAGTGTCTTGGCTTATGTCATTATATATTTCTCTGTATTTTTCTTGCAGTTATCCTGGCATCCAACTAAGGAAGGCTCCTTGGCTTTTGGAACAGATGATGGAAAAGTTGGCATATTTGACACCTTCTCCAGCAGGTAAAAGAGTAGCTTTCAAATTCATTAGTGTCAGATCCTGCTGATGTATTACCACAGGTGGGTGGTGTGGTCTTTCCTGAGGAATATCTTTGCTGCTGGACAAGAGTAGAACTAAATTAAAACTATTCAAACAGCTAGATTTTCGGTGCATTTTTTCATCTCCATTGTTTGATAGCTTCTAAGGTCAACT